CGTCGTGGCGTGCGTGCTAGCGCTGCATGCGTGGCGTGCGTTGCGGTGTGTGGTGTGTATTTGTATATGGTGTGTGTGCGTGTGTGTGTGGTGTGTACGTGTGTGTGGTGTGTGTGTGTGTGTGTGTGTGTGTGTGTGGCGTGGTGTGTTCCTGTGCGTTGAGTGCGTGGCATGTGCACAAGACAATATTTACAAACAGTATACCCATATTCGCGCGGCAACATGGCGCCCGTTTTACTTTGCAGCTGAAGTTGTCAGAACACAATAGAGCTGACACATGCTATAGCGAACAACACCTCGTGATTCGGCTCTAACGTAGCCTGTATAGCAGCGAATAAAATCAAAATTGCGCAAAATAGCATGGCGAGCAAAACATCCATTAGCTTCTAGAAAATCGCGAGGTTTTGAGCGAAATTGCCGACGTTTGCGAATGCGTGCAGTGATGGCTGCTTAATGTACTATCACATAAAAAAAACTCCGTCGTTGAATTTGACTCAACAAATCTCGACATGCAAATCGGACGCGAAGCACTCTATATTCATTCAAGAAAGATCTACGAGGCTCGGAAACTGTCTGATGAGTTATATATTGACTTGTATCTTTTTTCCCCAAAATTACGCAGGAAATTTTATCGATTGGGTTCGAAATGCGTATTCATTAGAAGAGTTGAGAATACCAAACAATCATTTTCAATACGACAAGTGGAAGATAGTAACGTGCAGTAATAGTACTGAGACGCAATGCGATATTTTCGCGTCATCATCAAAATGTTTATCCGACCTCCATACAATGTATAACGCCCACCTTGAATACGTCCCTACTAGTTGGCGCCACCTCCCGCCCACATCCAAGATCATCTGCTTTCATAGGTTGAAAATACCTGGTGATGAAAAGTACGGGCGATTTGAACAGAATGTGCGAAAAACCGCGAGTAGTGTTTTATAACAAGCGACATAGCAGGAAGTGTAGACGGGTCTTCGTTCATCGTGTGTGTGTGTGCGCGAGAGAGCGAGAGAAACGCCGGTAGACAGAGAGTGGATGACTGTACGTGTTCTCAAACACTCGCTAATGCTGAAAGACTCTATGTATACTGACCAACTGTGGCGTTTTGAATTTAGACCGTTCGTATGCTTCACAAGACCTATATTATCTTCTCACACCAATAACGAAATGGGTATATTCGTCACACGAGCTGCCCCTATGCCCCCGTTTGCTCACATTAGCACCATATAGGCTTAAGATACGCATTAGTGCGAACAGGGCTTAAAATGCGAGATGTTCCTCCTGCCTAAGATTTGCGTTATTTTGGGAAAGTACGGCCTTGACTGTTTTTAATCTCACTTGTTAAGCCGTTAAACGACAAACCCGACAGGCGCAGGCGTGAAGAGAGATCAACAGTGCAATGAGAACATGGCCGTAGCTAGGAATTAATGTATGAGGGGACAAGATGAACGAGCGCCGGAAGCGCTCGCTTCTAGGGGGGTCTGGGGACATGCCCCCCCACCAGGAAATTATGAAATACATAAGCTCTGAAATGCAATTTCCAGCCATTTCAGGTAGGTTACATTCTTAAAACTCCCAAAACGGTTAAGCGAGTATTTTCTAATCTTATTATTCTTCACTGGGTTCTTTTTTGGAGGGGGGCAGCTGCCCCCCCCCCCCTGTCCTCTGCCCCCGTGCTAGCTACGGCTTTGGAGAACACGGGGGGCGAAGGCATGCCCCCCACGTTAAACCGTCTTCAGTCTCACCAGATATCGGATGTTCCGGGAGAGATCCGCATCGCTGACGTCACCGCCGACGCGCATGTCTATGCTGTACAGCTGTCCGACCTTGAGCGCCACCTGGGGGTTCTCCAGCCACAGGTAGTGCCGGCTGGTGGACTCGTACGGAAGTATCTCCAGCTCGGTCTCCGCCTGCTGATCGGCCCGCAGGTCCGGGTTCGCAGATTTGACCTTGAGAAACGAGAACGACCCTCGGAATTTGCGCGTGCGAAAATAAAACCGAGTTAAAATATGCGAAGGGCGCGAAAGTGTTTATCAAACAAAGCGTGAATCATGCGCGACGGTGCTGCGATTCTGTAAACTGCGATAAACAGAGAGAGCGCGAGCGAACACAGACGTATTTAATGTTCGCGTCTGCAAACGAAACGTCGAGGTGCCGAGATGGCAAAAAACAAGTGAACGACCTTTCGCGAGCGCGTGGGCGGACGGACGCCATGATATCTACGCCACTATCGCAACGAGTGCTTAGAAGTTCTTGAAAGCTGCGTTTATTGGCGCATTTCATTTGGCAACTATATATCACGATAGATCTATAGAACAGATACATTTTCGCTGGTCTCGGCACCTACTGAGCATCAGCGATCTTCCCCTTCCATAGCCCCTGCCTAGTTTTACAGTTAGTAGTAGTAGTTACACTGGGCTTTATATAGATAAAAAACATAGCTATCATATATTCACGTTTATCTATGATGTTTATGGTGTTATGGTTATGGTTATGGACAGGGTTGGTCAGGGGTTATGGCGTTATGGTTTCTATGAGGATATCTATGGATAAACCCTATCCGCTTCTATGTGAAGGAACTCCCTGCTTACTACCGTATAGCGGTGCCGCCCTCTAACGGCGTACCTTGACGATCATGGTGCTGGCGGCCTCGCTGGCCGGCGCATCGATGAATATCGAGAAGACGCCGTCGTCGTCGGTGTTTCCCGTTAGTTCCACCAGGCTGCGCTGTCCACTCATCGTCATCGCTATGGCCTCGACACGCAGCGGTACGTTCTCGGCGGGAGTGTTGTCCGGGTATTGCACATCCACCTACGAGGAGAGCGCAGAGGTGTCTTTATCAGCGTAAGCATCATCTGAAGCAGCAGCGGTAGAAGCAGCAGCAGCAGCAGCAGCGGTAGAAGCAGCAGCAGCAGCAGCAGCGGTAGAAGCAGCAGCGGCAGCGGTAGAAGCAGCAGCAGCAGCAGCGGTAGAAGCAGCAGCAGCAGCAGCGGCGGTAGAAGCAGCAGCAGCAGCGGTAGAAGCAGCAGCAGCAGCAGCGGTAGAAGCAGCAGCGGCAGCGGTAGAAGCAGCAGCAGCAGCAGCGGTAGAAGCAGCAGCAGCAGCCGCAGCGGTAGAAGCAGCAGCGGCAGCGGTAGAAGCAGCAGCAGCAGCGGTAGAAGCAGCAGCAGCAGCAGCCGCTGTAGGAG